GGATGGATGGATGGATGGATGGATGGATGGATGGATGGATGGATGGATGGATGGATGGATGGATGGATGGATGGATGGATGGATGGTCAAACTGCAGCCGAATGGCAGCCCACTTCCCTGAAACTTCCAGCAAAATCCCTTCAACTTCTCCTAGGCGTGCATATTTTCTTACTCTGACTCCACCCTTTCACTGAATTACAGGCTCTAACCAGGAGGTGATGCTTCTCCTTAGATCTTAACGTCCACAAATCATGACAAAAAGAATATTTTAGTACAAAGATTGATGTTTAAAAAGGAATCGTAGGGGACCAGCCAAGGATCCATCAAAGAAAGTGGGGAAATTTCGAATGTCTAATACAGCAACGCTTCACTACATTCTCCTCCATGAACATGATGGTCAGAAAAATGTAATCCGCAAAATGATTTAATTAATTGTGTAAAGGAGCAGCAGTAAGAAGCTTTCTGCTCTCACTGCTCGGGCGTAAATATTTCAGAAACGCACTGTATTCCCAATGAGACTGGCAGACAGTGGAGTCTCACAGCATATGTCTCCTTAAAGTGGCAGGATGCATCTTAAAAAAGTTTAATATATGTATTCAGACTTTTGCTGTGTCCTAACATGATGCACATAATTTGTTGGGGAAAAAAATTTGCATTTGACTTGAATATTTCTTTTTGTTTGACATTATTTGGTATCAGCAGTTTTGCTATATTTGAAAGTAGTTTTATGCGTATAACTGTTTTAAATCTGTTACATTAAATCTGTTAGCAGGTTTTTAATTTGTCCTTTAGACTAAATACTTGCTGCATTGTTCCTGCAAGTTTCCAATTGTATGTTTTGCCTTAATTAGGTGATTTTATGATTCATGTCTGGCCAATAGTAGCATTTATACCTACATAAACAAAAAAACGAATGACCAGTGGTCGCTATTGATAATAATAATATGTAAAAAGATCTATTTTTTCATGCTATTATTGTTTCTCATGAGCTGAAACCCTTTTTCCCATTAAAAGACCATTTTCGGTAACCAGCAGCGTTCTCCCCTCCTCCCACCGATGCAGCAGCTCAGACAGATGACCACTTCATGCAGCCTGGAGATTAGAGAACCAGTGAAGATTTGCTGAGGATAAATGTAAAGCTGAGCAGAACAATGCATAAAACTGGCCAAGATTGTCTAAAGGGATAAGATAGTCAGTAAAATCTGGCTCTGTATGGGATGGTGAGTTGATTGTGTGGGACTGTGAGCCTGTAACTCTCTGTACATGTGTGAGATAAGCCCAGTGGGTAAAGGGTGAGCGTGTGTTTGTGTGAAGAAGGGGTGTTACGTGATGAAAAGGCTGTAGTGAAACGGGCCGAGCTAGAACGACCATTCAGCCCTTTTTCAGAATCCTTTGAAGCTACACTGCTTCAAATGCAGAAGCTTAAAAGACCAAGAAAAAAAATGGAACTGCCACACTAAAGTCACAAACACATTTGTGAGCCAAAGGCAACTTGTGCAGGGATACACATTTATTTATTTATTGTGTTTTATCCACATGAATCAGATTTCCTTCTGAATTTGCACCGACAGCCAGAGAGACTTTAGTTTCAGGATGTTTCTCCTCAACATCCAAATATTTCATTGTGTACGTTTCTCTTACTAGCATGAAAAAAGGAGATTTAAAGGTTTACCTACTCTGTATAAACATCTGTTTAATAACATCTGTCTTACTAGTGT